CGCCGGAGGGGTCAGCAAGAGAAACGGCAGCAGGAACAGGAAGCGGCGTCAGTGTGGTGAAGTCGCGGAAGAAACAACGGGAAGCGCCAGAGTCCAAGGTGAAGGAAAGCGAAGCAGAGGCGTCTGGCGACGGAACGACGGCGGAAGCACCAAGACTACACAAAGCAGGGGATCCTACGCCTGACGCAGCAGGGGAGGCTAAGCTAGGCACACCTACACTAGCCGACAGTGAGTAATAAGCGGGAAGCACACTAGAGTCATCAGCATACATCACATGCAGAACAGAAACAATGGCATCCATGTCCATGTAAAAAATCTGAATCTTACGACTAAGCAAACTGTGCCAGTCCGGGAGGTCTGGCGACGGGCCGAAGCGCTGACGAAAGAGGTCGTCCAGGCGACGAAAACAGCGGGGAGTGGAGTGACCGATCTTACCGCAAACGAAGCCGCGGGGAGGACCGGTCTGGATCTGGTACTGACAACGCACGCCTCCAAAACCACCACTCGGCACACCACCACGCGCCCGACCACCGCCAGCGCCGGGCCACCCGGGCGGGAGGACACTCGTCTGCCTCGTCTGAGGCGGCTGCCGCGGCTGCTGCGAAGGCTGCGGCTGCTGCGACTGCGGCGGCTGCTGCGGCTGCTGCTGCTGCTGCAACTGCAGGGGCGGCGGCTCAGCTGGACTGGGCAGGGTCCCCTCGTCCGCTCCAGCACCAGACGACCCGACTCCACCACCACCCCCTCCCGCACCCCCGCCTTGTCCGCCGCGCCCAACCTTGGGGCGGCGGCCCTTCCCCGTACGAAACTGCGCTGCAGCAGCAGTCTCAGCCACAGCGGCAGAGCCGTCGAAGAAAGTACACTGAGCAGGGGCACAACCCTGAAAGATAGGGACCGGCACGGTACCGCTCGCCTGGGCGATGGAGCGGTGGCGGGTCTCAATCACAGTCAGGGTGTCTACAAAGTCAGTGAGGGTGAGGTCTGCGGGGTGAATGCTAAGGAAGCGGTCGCGGGCGACAGCAAGGCGGTCAGGGAGGCGGGTGGCAAGCAGGTAAAGGGTAGAGGTAATGGGCGGCTGGTGGGCTCTAAGCTGTGCGTCAGTGCAGGCAGCGCGCCAGGTCTCATCTATCGAGCGCAGGTGGGCAGCGAGGTCAGAGACAGTGGGAAAAGACGCAAGGTCAGGAAAGAGCATCGGGAGGATCAGGCGACCCACCGAGGCAGCTGGAGGGGTGGAATAGCGCTTGATGACAGCATCTAAGTAAGCCTGGGCAGTAGTGAGGGACCTAAAGCGGGGGCGCTCGGACGGGGGAAGGGCATTGCTAATGGCAAGCTGAGCGACAGCATCTCGAGAAAGCCAGATAGAGCGCGCACGAGCAGTGGCAGCAGTAGACTCGCGCTCAGTGGGTGCGGAGTCAGCGGGCAGAACAGCAGGGGGGTCTGGGCAGGGGAGCGTACCGTCAAGGTGTGCGGAAAGCGGTTCACCATCCTGCCACTGGCCAGTGAGTTGACGCCGGAGGTCGGCAAGCCACGCCTCGAACTCCAGAGGCTGGCCTTCAGCGTCGAAGCGAAGCTCCGCCACCATCAGGGGCAGTGCAGGACTGTACAGTGCGGTGCAGTGCAGAGCAGGGCAGTGCAAGGCGAGGCAGTGCGATGCAGAGCAGTGCAGGGCGGTGCTGTGCGGTGCAGTGCAGTACAGTGCGGTGAAAGGTGGTGGAGAACCGTACCAGGGAGAGTGCAGATCGGACGGTCGTAGGGCCGGCGAGGAAGGGCCGGAAGTCGACGCGGGGCCGGCCGGGACAAGCGCGGGAGCCGGCTCGGACGGGCGCGGGACCGGCAGGGACGGGCGCGGGGCCGGCTGGAACGGGCGCGTGGCCGGCTCGGACAGGCGCGGGGCCGGCTGGGACGGGCGCGGGGCCTGCTGGGACAGGCGCGGGGCCGGCTGGGACGGGTGCAGGGGCGGCCTGGACGGGCACGAGGGGCCGGCTGGGACGGTCGCGGGGCCGGCTGGGACGATCGCGGGGCCGGCTGGGACGGTCGCGGGGTCTGCTGGGACGGTCGTGGGGCCGGCTGGGACGGGCGCGGGGCCGGCTGGAACGAGCGCGGGGCCGGCTGGGACAGGTGCAGGGGCGGCCTGGACGGGCACGAGGGGCCGGCTGGGACGGGCGCGGGGCCGGCTGGGACGATCGCGGGGCCGGCTGGGACGGTCGCGGGGCCGGCTGGGATGGTCGCGGGGCCGGCTGGGACGGTCGCGGGGCCGGCTGGGACGGTCGCGGGGCCGGCTGGGACGGTCGCGGGGCCGGCTGGGACGGTCGCGGGGCCGGCTGGGACGGTCGCGGGGCCGGCTGGGACGGTCGCGGGGCCGGCAGGGACGGTCGCGGGGCCGGCTGGGACGGGCGCGGGGCCGGCTGGGACGGTCGCGGGGCCGGCTGGGACGGTCGCGGGGCCGGCTGGGACGGTCGCGGGGCCGGCTGGGACGGTCGCGGGGCCGGCTGGGACGGTCGCGGGGCCGGCTGGGACGGTCGCGGGGCCGGCTGGGACGGTCGCGGGGCCGGCTGGGACGGTCGCGGGGCCGGCTGGGATGGTCGCGGGGCCGGCTGGGACGGTCGCGGGGCCGGCTGGGACGGTCGCGGGGCCGGCTGGGACGGTCGCGGGGCCGGCTGGGAGCGACGGACTAGGAAGCGCGACGGGCTAGGAAAGGCGCGACGGGCTAGGTAAGGCGCGACGGGCTAGGAGTCGCGCGACAGGGCCAGGAGGCATCAACGGGGGGGCCCAGGAGGGGCGTGACGGGTGCTAGGGGGCGCGACGGGCCCAGGGGAGCGTGACGGGGCCCAGGGGAGCGTGACGGGGCCCAGGGGGCGCGACGGGGCCCAGGGGAGCGTGACGGGGCCCAGGGGGCGCGACGGGGCCCAGGGAAGCGTTACGGGGCCCAGGGGGCGCGACGGGGCCCAGGGGGGCGTGACGGGGCCCAGAGGGGGGCGTGACGGGGCCCAGGGGGGGCGCGACTGGTCCTAGGTGACGCGACGGGGCCCAGGGGGGCGCGACGGGCCCAGGGGGGGGGCGCGACTGGTCCTAGGTGACGCGACGGGGCCTAGGGGGCGCGACGCACGGGGGTAGATCCTAGGGCGGAAGCGTGGGGGGGGCGGTGGGACCTACCTACTGCTGATACCATCTTAGAACTGAAGAATTATTGAATAGAGAGAGAGTACAAGGGTATATACCTAAGAGTGTTGTACCCTCTAAGAGGCGACCCTATACAGTCTATACAAACATGAGTTATACTTATGTTTGACAGGATTGTTCTCCGTCGTTTCGTTTAACCGTCTCCTCTTGATTCGAAAGGGCGATTTCGTCGCACGGTGTAACAACCCTTGCCCTTATAGTATGGGCAAACAAGGGTTGGAGTCAAAACCAACATCCAAGATCCTATGATATAATAATGGAGTACCAAAATCAACTAGCGATCTCTTAGCGTTGTACCTAGAAAGAACCCCCTCTAAGAAGTAGCCTAAGCTTGAGGGATGCTCTTGGAGAATAGTAGTTGAGGCTCTAGTTGGGTAGGGTTTCCCCTAGGAGACCACACTAGAAGCTACTAGTGTAGGAAGGCTTGTGAGGAGAGCTCATGACTTAGAGAAAAATCCCATTTCAAGATTGATTTCTTGGAGTGGGAAGTTGAGAATGAGCTTCTCAGCCCAGACCCCTTCCAATGACTCCCAGCAGCTGCTGAACCTCCTCCATGGCTCCAAGGAGGTGAGCTAGCTTATGTGACAAAGGGTTGGATTCCCAACCAATAAGAGGTTAACAATAATGTATTTAGATTAGCATATGGTGTATAGCGTAGGAATATTCGAGTTGAGTTGGCATTGCCAACCAACTTCCTGATTCTGATTGGTCGCAAATCCAACCATCGCGTGTGCTGGAAATTTCGCCAACTCAATCTGTACAACTAAAATATGATTGGTCCCAAGTATCGACCAATCCCAATCCTCCCCTCCCAAACCTTCATTCCCATCTCGCGCTACCTAGCACAGGTAGCCAATTTGTGGAAGGTACTTGGGACGGTTATTTCTAGGCCCGCGTACTGTGCAGAGGCCATGCGTTAGACACGGAGTTCCAAATGTCTTTGTAATTCATTTGCTGGGGACGCCATGGTTTCTGTAATTCTGATCGAGCCGCCCTCAGCACCAGTCAGCTCTTTGTTGCCTCTGCATCCCAATCCCTATGCATCCCTCTGCATCCCTCTGCATCTCTCTGCATCCTCGGCACGATCGTGATCTGAGCCTCGCAATGCCACTGGAGCTGCGCGTTCTGATGCTTCGCATCCACTGTGACAGCCATTGTCTTTCCTCCACGCCCTTACAGTCTCACTGCCACGCCCTTGGAGTCTCACTGCTCCTTCTCAACCTCTCCGTGTCCTCTGGTCTCACGGCAGCTCGCATACCACAGCAGCAGACATGCCAAGCATTGAGCCTAACCACCTTCTTGGCACTACTAGTCCTGAAGACAGCATGGAAATCGGCAGGTTACACTTCAGCGGCATGCCCAGCGGACAGCGGACATGCCAAGCGGACATGCCAAGCGTTGCATCTAACGACATGGGTCGAGCGTGGCACCATAATGACAGCAATCCTGTAGCAAGCAGGGGAATCGACAGTGGCGATTACAATGCGTCCCTGACGGCTCGCCTCCTCCATTTTGCCATGGCTGATCGCTCCTCCTCGTCCCTAGAGGCGGGATTTCGTCCCTTCCACCATCTGTCATCCACTGCATACCTCCCATCCTCACCTATAATGCCACCACCGAGTGCTGCCGTGGAATCATCAGCTTCAGTGGCTCAATCCCCTCTTCTGGCAGTTTATTTTCCTACGCCTTCCACCTCTAGCCTCCCCTCCTCTTGCCCCTCATGCCGTGTCTTGCTCGCGTGCTGCTGCTGGCGGCACTGGCGGTGGGGCTGCTGGGGTCTCGGTGAGTGGAGCGAGGGACATAGTCCCAAGGGCGGCAGGCAAGGGCATGGGCGGGCAGCAGAGGAAGGGCGGTCGCATTCTGGCCGCTGAGACCTTCTCTCACCATGTCACACTGCCGGACTACCTCTCCCACATCCCTCGCCGCAAGGCCCTCGCCACCTGTAAGTGCTGCTCCTCACCTGCCCCTCTCCCTTCCTTCCCTCTCTCTGTGCTCACTCTTCATGCCATTGCATTTCTGAACCCGTTTTTTGGATCAGGGGATACAGTTGCCTTCTTCCCAGATTACTGAAGCTATCCCCCTGCCCCCTCCCTCTTCCGCCCTCTCCCTCTTTTCCAGCGTGCGGGGCATCGACGGTGACAGTGCGGTCGCAGTACATGGGGCCGTTCGACCTGCACAACGACATCTTCAACATGACGTTCTACAACGGGTGCGCTTACAACGTCACTAGCCCGCTGGTCGTGTTTGACTACTTCGACTTTGGCACCCTGTGGGACGGCTTTCTGGAGAACCCCGCGCCCAACCCTATGCAGTACCGGACAGGCCCTGCGCAGGTGAGCGGCCAGGTCAGCGACAGTGGGGAACGACGCAAGGTCAGGGAAGAGCATGGGGAGGATCAGACGACCTACCGAGGCAGCAGGCGGGGTGGAATAGCGCTGGACAACAGCATCTAGGAAAGCGTGGGCAGTGGTGATAGACCTGAAGCGAGGTCGCTCGGACAGGGGGAGGGCATTGCTAATGGCAAGCTGTGCAACAGCGTTACGGGACAGTCAGACAGAGCGAGCAAGGGCAGCGGCCGCAGCGGACTCACGCTCAGCGGACGAGGGGTCAGTAAACAGTGCAGCAGGGGGGTCAGGGCAGGGGAGGGTACCGTCAAGATGGACAGACAGCGAGTGGCCATCCTGCCGCTGACCAGTGAGGTGGCGACGGAGGTCAGCAAGCCACGCATCAAACTCAATCGGCTGGCCCTCAGCGTCAAAGCGAAGCACCTCCGCCATGAGTGACAATAGAGGGCAGTGTAGAGCGGTGCAGGACGGTGCAGTGCGGTGCAATGCAGCGCAATGCGGCACAGTGCGGTGCAGTGCGGTGCAGTGCAGGACAGAGCGGTGCAGTGCGGTACAGTGCAGTGCAGTGCGGCGCAGTGCGGTGCAGTGCGGTGCAGTGCGGTACAGTGCTGTGCAGTGCGGTGCAGTGAGGTGCAGTGCGGTACAGTGCGGTGCAGTGCGGTGCAGTGTGGTACAAAGCTGTGCAGTACGGTACCGGGGGGTTTGCAGGGCGGTGCTGATCGGGAAGAACTGGCCAAACCCGAGGCGCTGGCGACGACGCGAATGCAGGGGCAGGCCGGCGGGCGACGGACACGAGGGGCCAGCAAACGGCGGCAACGGGGGCCGGCTAGGAGCTGGCGCGACGGCGAGGAGAGCCGGCCGCGACAGCGGCCAGGGACAGCCGCGACGGCGGCTAGGGGTGGCCGCGACGGCGGGAGTGACCGTGGGGCGGCTGGAGACAGCAGCGACGGCGGCTAGGGGTGGCCGCGACGGCGGGGGGCGGCCGTGAGCCGGCTGGAGACGGCTGCGACGGCAGCTAGGGGCGGGCGCGACGGCGGCTAGGGGCGGGTGCGACGGCTAGGGGCGGCCATGGGATGGCGGGAAACGGCCGCGACGGCGGCTAGTGGCAGCCGCAACGGCTAGGGGCGGCCGCGACAACGAGGGAGTCGGCTAGGGGCGGGCGCAAACGGCCAGGGGGTCGGCTAGAAGCGGGCGCGACGGCCAGGGGGCCAGCTAGGGGCGGGAGCGAACGGCCGGGGGGCCGGCTAGGGGCGGGCGCGACGGCCAGGGGGCCGGCTAGGGACGGGCGCGAACGGCCAGGGGGCCAGCTAGGGACGGGCAAGACGGCCAGGAGGCCGGCTAGGGACGGGCGCGACGGCCAGGGGGCCGGCTAGGGTCGGGCGCGACGGCCAGGGGCCCGGCTAGGGACGGGCGTGAAAGGCCAGGGGGCCAGCTAGGGACGGGCGCGACGGCCAGGGGGCCGGCTAGGGACGGGCGCGACGGTCAGGGGGCCGGCTAGGAACGGGCGCGACGGCCAGGGGGCCGGCTAGGGTTGGGCGCGACGGCCAGGGGGGGCGGCTAGGGACGGGCGAGAACGGCCAGGGGGCCAGCTAGGGGCGGGCGCGCACGGCCAGGGGGCCGGCTAGGAGCGGGGCAAGACGGCGGCTAGGGCCTAGGGGCGGAAGCGTGGGCGGGCTAGGGGGGGACCTAACCTACTATGATACCATATCAGAATGAATAATGACTAGAATGGGGAGATACAAGGCAATATAGATTGGTGAGCTGTACCCACTAAGGCACAAACATATATAGTCAACAGTAACTGCATAAGTTATATTTGACAACCCCCCCCCCCTCGTTGTGTTTTGCTCGCCCCTTCTTCCCCGTTTCCGCACATGTAACTGTTAACGTAAGAACGAATGAGTGACTAGAAAGAGAAACACAGAACAAATACCAGCTGGTTGTACTCACTAGAAGCACACACCTAGTCTAGCCAATAACTTCTACATAGATAATATGTATAAGTTGACACACCCCCTAAGCTATATAAGGGGTGGTGCTAAGCAAGAAGCATGCAGCTCAGGGTGGCACTACTAGTCCAACCACTGAGGCAGGGGTCCGGAGACCAGTCAGCAAGAGTACAAACAAGACAAAAGCAAGCCAGGGCGGCACTACTAGTCCAGCCACTAGAGGTAAGGCCACAAGGCCAGTCAGACAGGTATATATAGTAGAGAGTACACAATCATGGCCCTAGCAAATGAGAAGCTACAGGAACAAGACCAAGCTGTACACAGTGCCGCTGATGATCTTTAGGCGCAAGCGCCTTCGTAAAGATATCAGCTGTGTTGGCACCGGAGGCCAAGTGAACTACACGGGCCTGGCGACGCTGCTGTAGCTCGCGCAGGAGGAAGTACCGCAGCTGGATATGCTTCGCTCTGCCCTCAAGCCGAGGCTCCTGACAAAGGAGGATCATGGCCCTGTTGTCAGCGTACAGGACCGGGGTAGAGCTAGGCCGCTCACCTAAGTCAGTGAGCAAGAAGGTCAGCCAGCGGAGCTCCTGTGCCGCCATGGCACCAGCGTAGATCTCAGCCTCACAGCTGGACTGAGCAACAGACGACGAGCGAGTGGATCTCCAAGAGATAGCACCCGAACCAAGGCTAAAACAGTAGCCCTGAGACGACCTGAGAGTCTCAGAGTCATCTGCCCAAGAAGCGTCTGTGTGCCCAGTGAGGACCACCGGCCTGTGTCCTCCTAGCACTAACCCCATGCTCGATGTACTTGCTAGATATCGCAAAACCCTCTTAGCGGCCGACCAGTGCTGTGGCCGGTGTCTGCCATGGGCCACAAAGCGAGCCAGGACGCTGACAGGGTATGCGAGATCTGGGCAAGTGCAAGTCATCAGGTACATGAGGCAACCCTCCAGCTCTGCGTAGGGTCCACTGGGCTCTACTGGCTCCTTAGGAACTAGAGCAGAGAGCCCATGGTCTACAGGTAGAGGTGTGGGCTGTGCGGAGGAGAACTGAAGACCGAACCTCAAAAGGACCTGACGCAGCAAGTGTGACTTAGTCAGAGTGATGGTGTGTGCTGCTCTGTCCCTAGAGATCTGTAGGCCAAGATAGCGACGCAGCTCTCCAAGGTCAGTGCAGGTGTGTCTCTTCAGCAGCTCGGCCTTCACAGAGGTCAGTGTGTCCCTGTCAGCAGTAGCAAAGACCAGGTCGTCTACGTAGACAAGGATGTAGAACGGAGTCTGGCCGGAACGCACAAACAACGAGGGGTCAGCAGAGGACGGAAAGAACTGCATGTCTGCTAACGTGGCACGCAGCGTGTCGTGCCACTCGCGAGGAGCCTGACGCAGGCCGTAGACCGGGCGCCAGAGGAGCCACTGGGTCCCAGGGGGGATGGTACCAGTGAAGCCTTGAGGTCGACGCAGGTAGACCTGCTCGTGTAGGCTGCTCTGAAGAAAGGCAGTAGAGAAGTCGAGGGAGTGAAGCTCGTAGTCGCGCTGTGCTGCTACGTGTAGCAGCGCCCGAAGAGTGGTTATCTTCGGGGTCAGAGCGAAGGTCTGGAAGAAGTCAACCCCCTCGCGCTGGCTGAAGCCTCTGGCCATGTAGCGCGCCTTGAAGACAGGCGGCTCTCCAGGGGGGCGCTTCACCTTGAAGAGCCACCGACCATCGACTACGTTCACCCCAGGCGGGGGAACTGCGTCGACGTAAGTGCCGGTGGACCTCCAAGATGCCATCTCCTGCTCCATGGCAGCTATCCACTGAGAGGCCCACGGTCCCGAGGTGGCCTCAGCGTAGGTGCGAGGGGTCGGGATGTCGAAGGCGTCTGGGTCACCCTCTGAGACTAGGAGCATGGAGCAGAGATGGGGAGCGGCCTCGGAAAGGAAAGAAAGCTCGTACGACCTGTCCTCTAGTACGTCACTGCCAAGGGCAGGTGCACCCCCGACGGACGTAGGACGGGCAGGGTCAGAGACCAGAGCGATAGTGTAGTCAAGGCGGCGGGTAGAGGCGAAGTCAGCGACAGGAGCAACAAGCGCGTCAAGGCAGGAGACAGGAACAGACGGGTCTGTAACAAGCGAGGCAAGGACCCGAGGGACAAGGGGACTAGCGGCACGGAGGTAGTCAGACAGCGGGGGAGGTGCAACAACGAGCGACGAGGGAGGAGGTGAGGGGAGGAGGGCAGGACGAGACGAGTGAGAACGGAGTAACATAGGATGGGAGCGCGGGACAGGGGAGACGGGACGAGCACGGGAGGGACGGCGAGACCAAACGTGGGACGGAGGTGTAGGGTCAGGAGACAGCGGAGGGGACACAATGGGGGAACGAGGAGGAAGACGGGCCGGAGAAGAGTTCGGGGGCGGGAACACAGGGCCGTAGACATGAAGGGGAGGAGGAGGTGGGGGAGACAACGGCGAGCGGTCAATGGAGGGAAGGCCGAGCAGGCGAAGAGCGGAGACCGGCGGCGACGGCTGCGGCGGCTGGTGCTGCGGCTGGGGCGGTGACTGGGGCTCGACCCTCGAACCGGCAGGGGCACGACAACCTCCGAGAGAACACTCAACAGCAGCACCTCCAGAACGAACACCCCCAGAGCGAGAACCCTCTCCAGCCCCAGCGGCACCCCCAGGCCCGCCGGGACAGACCACGCCAGGAGCCGTAGGACGAACACCCTCCTCAGCGCCAGCACCCCCAGAGGCCAAGAATGGCAGCGGCAGCGGCGGCTGCGACGGCGGCAGCGACGGCGGCGGCGACTACGACAGCTGGGGCGGAGACACCAGGGAAGGGGGACGCGGCAAGGGCGGGGCGGGGGGACTACCAGAGTCAGCAGACTCCTCAACAGGGACAACTGACGGGAGGGGAGAGACATAGGAGACACCAGACGGGGCAGGACGAGGCGGGAGGGGAGGAGGGGCTACCGGGGGAGAGGGGGCAAGGAACAGGGGGGGGAAAACCGGGAGACCTCGGTGAGGGAAGCAACGGTAGAAGGAGACGGACTCGTCAAAGGTGACGTCACGAGAGTGGAGGAAGCGGTGAGACTGCGGGTGGTAGAAGAGCCAGTAAGACGAGTCCGGGGGGAAACCAAGGAAGACACAGGGGACAGTGCGGGCGGTGAGCTTGTCCGTGCCAGAGGCACGAACGTGAGCAAGGCAGCCCCAGACGTGGAACGTAGACGCGTCACCGGGGGACCCGGTCCAAAGGTGGGTCGGCGAAACCTGCGGCCGCTGGGAGCGTGGCCACAGGTTAAGCTGGTGAGCAGCGTAGCTAAAGGTGAACGGCCACAGAAAATGGGGTGCACCGGCATGGATCATGGAGGTACGAGCCACCTCCATGACCAAGCCGATGCGGCGCTCAGCAACCCCATTCTGCTGTGGCGAGTCCGGCAAGGTGTACGACTGGGTGATGCCCTCCGTATGACAGAACTGTCCAAGCCGACCAGAAGCGAACTCGCCGTCACGGTCAGAGTGGAGACACAACACGGGGAGACCGCGGTGAAGACGCGCAGCCACAACCCACGGGAGAAGAACGTCGGGCACGTCGGCCTTCCGCTCCAGTGAAAACACCGTGGTGTAGCGCGTGTAGTCGTCGACGAGCACAAGAAAGTAGCGCTCGCCACGCGGTCCGGGGACGGGGGCTGGGCCCCAAACGTCCAGGTGCAGTGTCTGAAGGGGAGCAATAGCAGGGCGAAGCGAGGAGGAGTGAGAAGCACGGCGGAGCCGGCCCTCGACGCAGGGCGTACATGGTGGAGCAGGCGAGAGGGGAAGGGCGAGGAGCGACGCGGGGAGGCCTAAGACAAGACCGTGTTGGGACATGTGACGCAGACGCGGGAGTGCAGGGTGACCTAGGCGGTGGTGCCACAAAAGAGACGGGTGAGTGAGGGACCGACACGAGCAAGCTGCAGCGACCTGGGAGGATGCACCAACCGGGGGGAAAGCGGTGTCGAGGGTAAACAGACCAGACACCGGGTCCCGGGGGAACGTCGCAAGAGGGGAACCTGAGACAGCCTCGGTACAGACAGCGAATTGCTCGTGCCCAGGGAACGTGATGGTGACGCCGAGGTCCTAAAGACGGCCGACACCAACCAGGTTCCTCGAGAACGAGGGAACGTGGAGGCCTGTAAGAGAGCCTGAGGGAACGGCTGGACAGGGAAGGGAAGTGGAACTGCGAGCTACGACAGGACCGGCAGAGGGGTCAGCGAGGGAGACAACAGCAGGTGCAGCAAGCGGCGTGAGCGTGGAACGGTCACGGAAGAAACAGGCAGAAGCACCGGAGTCGAGAGTGAAGGACAGCGAGGTAGTGGCAAAGGCCGGGGACGGGGCCAGTGCAGAAGCTAGGCTAGGCAACCTAGGCAGTCCTACGCCTGACGCAGCAGGGGACGCTATGCTACACAAGGGTGAAACACCTAGACTAGAGTACACAGGGTATTAAGATCCAGCAACAGTAGAAGCGTCAGCATACAAAGCATGCAAAGCAGTACCTATCTGATCCATGTCTAACTCAAAGATCGGCACGCCCTGGCGGAGCAGGCTGTGCCAGTCAGGGAGGTCCGGGGCCGGGCCAAAGCGACGACGAAAAAGATCGTCGAGGCGGCGGAAACATTGGGCGATCGGGTGCGGGCGGCGGCACAGAGTGCCGCGGAGAGGCCCAGTCTGAAGCTGGTACTAGCAGGTCACAGCACTGGAGCCGCTGGTAGACGCCAAGCTGCGCGGGCCGCCAACACGGCCACTGCCTCCGTAGGTGCCGGGCCAACCAGGCGGGAGACGAGCCCACGGCTGTGGCGGGTGCTGCTGGGATGGCGGCTGCGGCTGGGGCTGCTTCTGCTGCGGCTGGGGCTGCTGCTCCTACCCACCGGTGGTAGTCCCCTCAGGCGGACTACCATCACCACCACCACTACCACCATCACATGCGCCACCACCCCTACCTCCTTGGCGGCCACGGCCACTGCGGCGCGAGCGCTGCTGCAGGTGAACTGCAGCAGCCATCTCTGTAAGAGGGGTCGCCGTGGCGACCGCAGCCGAAACGTCAGTGAACGTGCACTGGGAGGGGGCACAGCCGTGAAAGATAGAGACTGGCGGCGCACCGCTCGACTGAGCGATAGTGCGCTGGCGAGTCTCGATCTCAGTGAGGGTGTCGACAAAGGCGGTGAGGGTGAGGTCACCCGGGTGCTGGCTAAGGAAGTGGTCGCGAGCACTAGCGAGGCGGTCCGGAAGGCGCATGGCGATAAAATAGAGCGTCATGCAGAAAGGAGGGGGGAGCGCAGTGAGCTGGGCAGCAGTGCTGGCAGTGCGATAGCGAGTCTCTAGGGCACGCAAGTGAGTGGCAAAGTCGGCGACAGTAGGGAAGGCAGCGAGGTTTGGGAACAGCATCGGAAAGATCAAGCGGCCAGCAAAAGCGGAGGCAGGAGTGGAATAGCGAGCAATAATGGCGTCTAAATAAGCCTTGGCCGTCTCAACAGTAGCAAAGCGCGAGCGCTCAGACACAAGGAGGGCATGACTAATAGCAACCTGAGCTACTACATCGCGTGAGTCCCAGACCGCACAGGCCAGCGCAGCAGTAGAGAAAGCCTCACGGTCATCAGAGGAGGGGTCAGCAGGGAGGGGAGCAGGGGCAGGGGGGCGGGGGAGCAAGCCATCAGCATGGACAACCAGAGAGTGGCCATCCTGGCGCTGACGTGTAAGCTGGCGGCGGAGATCGGAGAGCCAGGCGACGAAGCGTCCAGTCGGAGCACGAAGTCAGCCATCGTGCAGGGTCAGCGGCACGGCTCCTCAGCGACACAGCGGCACAGCTCCTCAGCGTCACAGGAATACAGCGGCGCAGGGACACGGCGGCACCCCCTCCAGTAGAGCAGCGGCGAGGCGCCCCAGCGCCGGCGAGCAGAAGACACAGGGCCCGAGAGGACACGGCAGACCGAGCAGGCACAAGGACGGGTCGGGCGGGCAGTGAGAGGGGCCGGGCCGGCGCTGGGAGGCGGGCAGGCGCGACAGGCCGGGCGGGTGCAAGGAAGGGGCCGGGCGACACGAGGAGGAGGCCGGGCGGCGCTAGGAAAGGGGTCGGGCGGCACGAGGAGGAGGTCGGGCGGCACTAGGAGGAGGCCGGGCGGCGCTAGGAGGAGGCCGGGCGGCTCTAGGAAGGGGCCGGGCGGCACGAGGAGGAGGCCGGGAGGCGCTAGGAAAGGGGCCGGGCGGCACGAGGAGGAGGCCGGGCGGTACTAGGAGGAGGCCGGGCAGCGCTAGGAGGAGGCCGGGCGGCTCTAGGAGAGGGGCCGGGCGGCACGAGGAGGAGGCCGGGCGGCTCTAGGAAGAGGCCGGGCGGCAGTAGCGCTGGGAGAGGCCTCGCCGGTGCGACGGGGGCCCTAGCGGGCGCGAAGGGGGCCCAGGAGGTGCGACGGGGCCCAACAGGCGCGACGGGGGCCGAGCGGGCGCGAAGGGGCCCAGGGGGGCGCGACGGAGGCCTAGCGGGCGCTAAGGGGGCCAGGGGGGCGCGATGGGGCCTAGGAGGCGCGACGGGGCCCAGTGGGCGCGACGGGGGCCTAGCGGGCGCTAGGGGGCCCAGGGGGGGCGCGACGGGGCCTAGCGAGCGCGAAGGGGCCCAGGGGGGGCGTGACGGGGCCTAGGAGGTGCAACGGGGCCCAACGGGCGCGACGGGGGCCTAGCGGGCGCGAAGGGGCCCAGGGGGGCGCGACGGGGCCTAAGCTAGGGCACGGGCGGAAGCGGTGGGCGGGGGGATCCTAACCTAAGCATGATACCATGTTAACGTAAGAACGAATGAGTGACTAGAAAGAGAAACACAGAAAAAATACAAGTTGGTTGTACTCACTAGAAGCACACACCTAGTCTAGCCTATAACTTCTACATAGATAATATGTATAAGTTGACAGTAACTCCTATTTGTTTGTCTTTTTTTTTCTCTTGGTTGTGCCATCTTGGCTTTCCCTCGTTCTGATTGGTTGTATTGTTGCTGCCTTTTGTGCAATTGTCGCGTAGGGAGTTGCGATGTTCGCACAGCCCTGACCTTCTCTCGCCACCTTGAGCCCGTGCTCCACACCCTTGCTGTGTGACTTGCCCAAATTTTTGCCCTGTCAAGTTTATTAGTCTTGTACGTTTTGGGTCAGCGGCTTCAAGGTCTGTGGTTTGGTTTTTTCCACACTGAGCCATATTTGGTCCAGGGTAATGTGAAACTCCTTTTTACAATGTGACAAGAAGCCGGCAATGACTATCCACTTAATGATGCTACGAGATTTAGGGTGTACTGTAATCGCTGCCTCACTGCAGGCAACCGGTGAGGAAGAGTCAAGAAGAACGACCTCAGTGACCCACTGCCGGCCGTAACATTCCAGTTGCCTCAGTCGATCGCTGCAGGTCGCTCCCCAGTCCACCCTAGGGCTGTCACTCGGCGCTTGCTGGGCGTTTCAAAGCGCACCACTCTTGCTTCGGGGGAGCGGAGGTACCCAGCCAGCAGGACCAGCATCACCTAGCATCCCCCACCAGCATTAGGCTGGCTGCGGGGGACGTTTGAATCGATGGCCCCGCGAGCGCGACCTCCCTCCTCTGGTCATGATCTCCAGCCTCTTGTATCGTATATCTGCTGCGCCGTGCTAGTCTTGTGCCCAAGCCATTTGCTCAAAGGCCCGTCACGTTCATCGGCTTGTCTCTTCACACAAGATACCGGTTACCCTTTTTAATTCTGATGGCGAATACCGTGGGTACCGTGACGGACAACAACTTCTCGAGCCTCGTTCTGAATAACGACCTTCCAGTGCTCGTCTTCTTCTACGCCACATGGGCCAGGCCTTGCCAGATGATGGCTCCCTTCATTGACGAGCTCGCGGAGGAGTACGCGGGGAGGATCGCCTTCTACAAAATGGACTTTGACGAGTACCCCCAGGCGTGCTCCAATCACAACGTCCGGTCCGTGCCCGTTGTGACGGTCTTCAGGGACGGGGCGTCGCATGAGACTATCACTCGTGCTGTTTCCAAGGACAGCCTCGCACAGATGTTGAACAAGTTCGTGTGAGAGCTCGAGCTTGCGCGCTCGCGTGCTCGCGTGCGGTGCGGCCCCGCCCGCGTGAATCAAGGGCATTCGTCTGTCTTTCCCGGATGACTCGTAGTGAAATGTATTCTTCAGATTCATTCAAACCGCGTTTCAAGCGTTGTACCAATTCTAAGAAACAGGGCACTTGAATACCTCCCACTTGACACCTGAAGGGGGACAAGTCAATCCCCTGCTTGGCACTCAAATCTGTCTGTCTATGGTAAAACGGGTGTCTATCTACCTGTCTCGGGGTCTTCCTATTTATCTACCAGTGCACGCCGATCGGTCAGTCTACAGGTGACTACCAAGTACCTATCTGTCTATGCACACGAATCTACAAAGCCGTACTAACCCCAGCCATGTCTTAAAGCCCGCGGCCCAAATTGCGAGGCGCGGCCTTCAAACGCACTGCGTTTGAAAGTAGCGCTTTCGTGGGTGTAGAGTGGGGTAACGTGAGTCTCGCCACTCTGTGGGTGCCTTTCAAGTTCACTGCCTGCTGCAATTTGGAACTCCATGTGTATATCAGAAAGAAAATGATTGAAACTAGAATGTGTGTGTACAAGTATATATTGTCAAACATAAGTATAACTCATGTTTGTATAGACTGTATAGGGTCGCCTCTTAGAGGGTACAACACTCTTAGGTATATACCCTTGTACTCTCTCTCTATTCAACAATTCTTCAATTCTAAGATGGTATCAGCAGTAGGTAGGTCCCACCGCCCCCCCCACGCTTCCGCCCTAGGATCTACCCCCGTGCGTCGCGCCCCCTAGGCCCCGTCGCGTCACCTACAGGCCTCAGGATATCAGGGTAAAATACCCTTACGGCCCTTACTATAAGGCTGGGGTTGGTGTTGGACCCTTATTTTTAAAAGTGCTTTAGTTTTGGACCCTTATGAAAAAAACTACGTTTGTACGGGACCCTGATTTTCAAAAGTGGTGTATCGTTCGCACCCTTATGCGAAAAAGTGCCTTTACAAAATACCCTGATGTGATTCTACATGTAGCCTGTCAACTTATACATATTATCTATGTAGAAGTTATAGGCTAGACTGAGGTATGCTTCTAGTGAGTACAACCAACTAGTATTTGTTCTAGGTTTCCACCTCTAGTAATCATTCGTTTCTACGTTAACATGGTATCACGCTTAGGTTAGGATCCCCCCGCCTACCGCTTCCGCCCGTCGCGCCTCCTAGGCCCCGTCGCGCCCCCTAGGCCCCGTCGCGCCCCCCCTGGGCCCCGTCGCGCTCGTTAGGCCCCGTCGCGCCCCCCCTGGGCCCCGTCGTGCCCGCTGGGCCCCGTCGCGCCTCCTAGGCCCCGTCGCGCTCCCCCTGGGCCCCGTCGCGCCCGCTGGGTCCCGTCGCGACCCCTAGGCCCTAACGCGCCGCCGCTGGGCCCCGTTGCGCCTCCTAGGCCCCGTCGCGCCCCCCATGGGCCCCGTCGAGCCCGCTGAGCCCCGTCGTGCCTCCTAGGCATCGTCGCGCCTCCTAAGCCCCGTCGCGTCCCCCCCCTCTGGGCCCCATCGCGCCCGTTCGGCCCCGTCGCGCCCCTCCTAGGCCCCGTCGCGCCCGCTGGGCCCCTTCGCGCTTCCTAGGCCCCGTCGCGCCTGCTAGGCCCCGTCGCGCCTCCCCTGGGCCCCGTCGCGCCCGTTAGGCCCCGTCGCGGCCCCCCTGGGCCCCGTCGTGCCCGCTGGTCCCCGTCGCGCCTCCTCGGCCCCGTCGCGCCCCCCCTGGGCCCCGTCGTGCCCGCTGGGCCCCGTCGCGCCCCTTAGGCCCCGTCGCGCCCGCTGGCCCCTGTCGCGCCTGCTGTTAGCGCTCGCCCGCCTGGCCTCCTCCTAGTGCCGCTCGGCCTCCTCCTAGTGCCGCCCGGCCTCCTCCTAGTGCCGCCCGGCCTCCTCCTAGTGCCGCCCGGCCCCTTCCTAGCGCCGCCCGGCCTCTCCTCAGCGCTGCCCGGCCCCTCCTCGTGCCCGACCGGCCCCAGCAGCACCAGCCTGGCCCCTCCCAGCACCAGCCCGGCCCTAGAGCACCTGCCCGCCTCCCCTGCTCGGCCTGCCGTGTCCTCTCGGGCCCTGTGTCTTCTGCTTGCCTGCGCTGGGACGCCTAGCTGCTGCCCTACTGGAGAGTGCTGCCGCCGTGTCCCCGCGCCGCTGTGCTCCTGTGCCGCTGAGGAGCTGTGCTGCTGTGCCGCTGTGTCGCTGAGGAGCTGTGCCGCTGACCCTGCACGATGGCTGACTTTGTGCTCCGCCTGGACGCTGAGGGCCACGCGGTTGACTTCGCCGCCTGGCTCTCCGATCTTCGCCGCCAGCTTACAGGTCAGCGCCAGGATGGCCACTCTCTGGTTGTCCATGCTGATGGCTTGCTCCCCCGTCCCCCTGCACCTACTCCCCTCCCTGCTGACCCCTCCTCTGATGACCGTGAGGCTTTCTCTACTGCTGCGCTAGCCTGTGCGGTCTGGGACTCACGCGATGCAGTAGCTCAGGTTGCTATTAGTCACGCCCTCCCTGTGTCTGAGCGCTCGCGTTTTGCTACTGTTGAAACGGCCAAAGCTTATTTAGACGCCGTTATTGCTCGCTATTCCACCCCTGCCTCCGCTTCTGCTGGCCGCTTGCTCTTTCCGATGCTGTTCCCAGACCTGGCTGCCTTCCCTACTGTCGCAGATTTTGCCACTCATTTGCGTGCCCTAGAGACTCGCTATCGCACTGCCAGCACTGCTGCCCAGCTCACTGCGCTCCCCCCTCCTTTCTGCATGACGCTCTATTTTATCGCTATGCGCCTGCCAGACCGCCTCGCTAGTGCTCGCGACCACTTTCTTAGCCAGCACCCGGGTGACCTCACCCTGACCGCCTTTGTCGACACCCTCACTGAGATCGAGACTCGCCAGCGCACTATCGCTCAGTCGAGCGGTGCGCCGGCAGTCTCTATCTTTCACGGTTGTGCCTCATCCCCGTGCACGTTCACTGACGTTTCGGCTGCGGTCGCCACGGCGACCCCTCTTACCGAGACGGCTGCTGCTGTCCACCCGCAGCAGCGCTCGCGTCGCGGTGGCCGTGGCCGCCAGGGAGGTAGGGGTGGTGACGCAGGTGGTAGTGGTCGTGGTGGTGGTGACGGTAGTCCGCCTAAGGGGACTACCACCGGTGGGCAGGAGCAGCAGTCCCAGCAGCAGCAGGACCAGCCCCAGCCGCAGCCGCCGTCCCAGCAGCACCCGCCGCAGCCGTGGGCTCGTCTCCCGCCTGGTTGGCCCGGCACCTCCGGAGGCGGTGGCCGTGGTGGCGGCCCGCGCAGCTTGGCGTCTACCAGTGGCTCCAGTGCTGTGACCTGCCAGTACCAGCTTCAGACCGGGCCTCTCCGCGGCACTCTGTGCCGCCGCCCGCACCCGACCGCCCACTGTTTCCGCCGCCTCGACGATCTTTTTCGTCGTCGCTTTGGCCCGGCCCCGGACCTCCCTGACTGGCACAGCCTGCTCCGCCAGGGCGTGCCGATCTTTGAGTTAGACATGGATCAGATAGGTGCTGCTTTGCATGCTTTGTATGCTGACGCTTCTAGTGTTGATGGATCTTACTACCATGTGTACTCTAGTTTAGGTGTTTCACCCTTGTGTAGCTTAGCTTCCCCTGCTGCGACAGGCGTAGGACTGCCTAGGTTGCCTAGTCTAGTCGCTGCACCGGCTCCGTCCGCGGCCTCCGCCACTGCGTCGCTGTCCTTCACTCTCGACTCTGGTGCTTCTGCCTGCTTCTTCCGCGACCGTTCCACGCTCACGCCGCTTGCTGCACCTGCTGTTGTCTCTCTCGCTGACCCCTCTGCGGGTCCGGTCGTCGCGCGCAGTTCTACGTCCCTTCCCTGTCCGGCAGTTCCCTCGGGCTCCCTTACAGGCCTCCACGTTCCCTCGTTCTCCAGGAACCTGGTTGGTGTCGGCTGTCTCCAGGACCTCGGCGTCACCACCACGTTCCCCGGGCACGAGCGGTTCGCTGTCTGTTCTGAGGCTGTCTCAGGTTCCCCCCTTGCGACGTTCCCCCGGGACCCGGTGTCCGGTCTGTTTACCCTACACACCGCTTCCCCCCCGGTTGGTGCGTCCTCCCAGGTCGCTGCAGCTTGCTCGTGTCGGTCCCTCACTCACCCCTCCCTTCTCTGGCACCACCGCTTAGGTCACCCTGCTCTCCCGCGTCTGCGTCACATGTCCCAGCACGGTCTTGTCTTAGGTCTCCCCGCGTCGCTCCCTGCCCTTCCTCCCTCGACTGCGCCACCGTGCACGCCTTGCGTCGAGGGTCGGCTCCGCCGTGCTCCTCACTCCTCCTCGCTGCGTCCTGCTACTGCCCCCCTTCAGACCCTGCACTTGGACGTTTGGGGCCCTGCCCCCGTCCCCGGACCGCGCGGTGAGCGCTACTTCCTTGTGCTCGTTGACGACTACACGCGCTACACCACGGTGTTTCCCCTGGAGCGGAAGGCCGACGTGCCCGACGTTCTTCTCCCGTGGGTTGTAGCTGCGCGTCTCCACCGCGGTCTCCCCGTGTTGTGTCTCCACTCCGACCGTGGCGGCGAGTTCGCCTCTGGTCGGCTTGGACAGTTCTGTCGTGCGGAGGGCATCACCCAGTCGTACACGTTGCCGGACTCGCCACAGCAGAATGGGGTTGCTGAGCGCCGCATCGGCTTGGTCATGGAGGTCGCCCGTACCTCCATGATCCATGCCGATGCCCCCCATTTTCTGTGGCCGTTCGCTGTTCGCTACGCGGCTCACCAGCTTAACCTGTGGCCACGCTCCCAGCGGCCGCAGGTTTCGCCGACCCTCCTTTGGACCGGGTCCCCCGGTGACGCGTCTGCGTTCCACGTCTGGGGCTGCCTTGCTCACGTTCGTGCCTCTGGCACGGACAAGCTCACTGCCCGCACTGTCCCCTGTGTCTTCCTCGGTTTCCCCCTGGACTCGTCTGACTGGCTTTTCTACCACCCGCCGTCTCACCGCTTCCTCCACTCTCGTGACGTCACCTTTGACGAGTCCGTCTCCTTCTACCGCCGCTTCCCTCACCGAGGTCTCCCAGTTGCCCCCCCCCTTTTCCTTGCTCCCTCTCCCACGGTAGCCCCTGCCCCTCTCCCGCCTCGTCCTGCCCCGTCTGGTGTCTCCCACGTCACTCCCCTCCCGTCGGTTGTCCCCGTTGAGGAGT